ATGTTAAGGAATATTGATAAGTTTTACTAACAAATTATGAAAAAGAACTAAATTAGATTATAAGTGATGAATAGCTATTATACTGCCTCCTAAAAATGAAGCTTAATATATTTAGGGTGGTGATATAGAGGGTGAAAATTTTGAGATCAACAATATAAAATAAATATCAATGATTTATTGATCCAAATGAAAAAAACTTGATCTTTCTTAAATAATATTTCGAATTTAAATTTTATAAATAAAAAAATAAACATTGGGAAAACATCTTCGTTATGGGGTCCAATACAGATGTGTATAAAGAGACAGGGATGTGACTGGCGAATGCTAAGGTCGATGGAAGAACAAGAGGGATGTGACCAGCGAAGGTTGAGATCGGGAAGGCAATTGTGGAGTTGCTGACGACTTAGATTGGGGAGGCAATTGGTCGATGATGACTTCGCTTGATCTGTTTTGTTTCTGTTATGTACCTCTTGGTTTTGCTTCTGCATAGAGATGAAGAGCTTGCTTTTTGGTTTTGCTTCTATACAATGGCAAAAGGTTGGATTGGAAGCCGTCGACGATGGAGGTGGTTAAGATTGAGCAAGTAAAGGCCGACAGTGGTGAGTGGTGAGTGGCATCGGCTGTTCTTCTCTCTTTTGCTTCTTCTGATTTCTAGGTTTACTTTTGTAGTGAGATGGGAGAGAAAACCTAATCTGTCTGAGTTTTTTTTTTTTTTTTAATTGATCTGATATTTTAATTTGTAATTTAAGTGTATGGTTTTTATTGTAATAATATACAAAAAATGGGATAAAATGGTAAATTACATTAAAAATAAAAAATAATTTAATTAACATTAAAACTAATAAAAATTTCAATTGATTTTCAGCCTAGCGGGTGAAGTGGTTTCAATGGGCTGAGCGGGCCAAAACGGGCTAATTAACAAAACGGGTCAAAGTCATCAACCAATCCATTTTGAAGCTCGGGCCCGGTTCAACCGGCCAAGCCGAGTCGAGTCCAAAAACACTGGTTTAGCCTTTAGACGGAAACAAAATAAAAATCAAAAAAAGAAACGTCGCCTGAGAGATTCGAACTCTCGCGGGGAAACCCCATGTACTTAGCAGGCACACGCCTTAACCACTCGGCCAAAGCGACTGGGCGGTTTTAGTGGGGAAAACTAAATTGTATGTTTCTATAATTTACGGTACCTTTATTTACCAATCGAGTCCATGGAGAATCAGATGTTCATGGACGGACGAAAGCAATAATTTACTTCATTATAAAATTTTTATGGAAGTTTCAATGTCAATGTTTAAGATGATAAATGGATGTTGTTAAAGTCCGAACAGAACATTGATACAACGGGAAGAAGACAAAGTACAAATCCCAAAAAATATAACTTTAAAGTTTAAATAACATCCCTTGGTCCCTGGCTCCATCTAACAGCAACAGGACTCCTCACCTGATGAACCCCATCACACCACTGAATCCACCCAAATTTCTGACCTTCAACATCCGACAACCCTATCTCACCACCACTCCTAAACTCAACCTCGTACGACAATGCCTCGTTCTCCGAGCTGAACACAAGCTTACTTGGCCAGACACTGATCTCAATCCCTGGAGGAGCATTCACCTTAACCTCATACATAACATCCGCTAGACTCCCAACATTCTTCACCGTCCTCTTGTATCTAACAACATTAGTGTCCGATCCAAACACAACGGAGAATGATGGGTAATTCAGGCTCCCCGGAGAAGACAACTTCCCATCACATACGTTGGCACTAGCTGGCTCCCTAAGGAAAACTGAGATTAGGGATGAATCATACCCAATGGAGCAGAGGAATGCAACGTAGTCATTAGCATTAATGTCGTACACCAATCCGGGATGAAGTGCTCTGTTTGGATCAACATGACCGGCTCCATGGACAAACGGGGTTGATTCGTCGCTGGTGGCGAGATCCTTGATGCTGTTTCCGGAGTTATCAATGGTGTAAGCAGTTGTCATCAGGGCGGATTTTATGGCCGCTGGTGACCAATTGGGGTATGCCTTTCGGAGCAGTGCAGCCAATCCGCTGACGTGAGGGCAGGACATTGAAGTACCTGAAATTATGTTGAAATTAACTCTTCTGGGATCAATGTCGAGATCAGTTGGTCCGGTGAAGCCAGTCCATCCGGCCAGGATGTTAACACCGGGAGCAATGACGTCTGGCTTGAGGATCTCTGGGGTCAGGTGGTTTGGACCCCGACTGGAGAAAGCTGCTACCTTAGGGGCCGGCGGGGTTGGGCCAATCACTGTCCCACGGAACACGATTGTGGCAGTAGGGAATTGACTCAACTTAATGTAATCTCGTATCTCATTGCCGGCTTCCTCCCCTACCATGTTTGCTGGAATTAGATGGGAATCGGCGATCAATTCTTCACCGTTCCCTGCAGTATTTGCAAGAATCATTCCCAACCCACCGGCAAGCTTCACTGCACTTCCCTTTTCGACTCTGGCATTCCCTCCCCTGTCACACACAACGATTTTCCCCTGAACTTTGGATGGAGATAGGCTGCCAGTATAGCAATATCTACTCCCAGAGTCGCCGGCGTAGATCAGAGGAAGTTGGAAATCAGGAAGAGAATCGCCGGAGTACAGTGACACGCCGCTAAAGATCCTTCCATCGCCGAGAACAGCATCAGCTGGAAATTCCCGATCAATTGTGGAAGCGCCAACTGTTAAAATCCACGGGGCAATGTTCACTGCGGTGAACGGACCTGGACCAGAATTCCCAGCAGAACATGACACAACAATTCCGTGCTGTGCGGCACCAAAAGCCCCAATTGCTATAGAATCATGGTAGTACTCAGGAGCATACCCTGTTGCTCCAACGGATAAAGAGATCACATCAACCCCATCGGAGATCGCTTGGTCCATTGCTGCAAGTATATCGGAATCAAAACAACCAATACTCCAACAGATTTTGTAAGCGGCAATTCGAGCTTTCGCCGCCATACCACGGGCTTCCCCATATGCATACTGGTAGAGACTAGCATTTACTACCACAGATCCGGCCGCCGTCGAAGCAGTATGGGTCCCATGGCCCTCAGTATCCCGCGGCGATTTAGATTCCTTTGACTCATCCATGGGTTTTCCAAGATCCGACTCATAGCCTCTGTAAAACGCTCTGGCGCCGATGATCTTCTGATTGCAAGCGGAAGCCGGAAAATCAGGCCCTGTTTCGCATTTACCCTTCCAACCCGACGGAACAGGGGATAGACCCGAATCCGAGAAACTCGGACTCTCCGGCCAAATTCCAGTGTCAAGAACTCCGATTATCACACCATCGCCGTAACACGAGCTATGCCAAAGGCCAATTCCGTTGGTAAGGCCCAAAAAGTGAGGTGTGCGGGTGGTGTGAATCTGACGCGCCTGGTCCGGAATAACGGAAAGGATCCCGGGAAGCTGGCGGAGTTTGAATGCCTGCTCGGCGGTGAGGCTGGCGGAGAAGCCATTGATGGCGTGTTCATAGGTGTAGAGAAGTTTGGTGGGGTGGGGGGAATGTGGGAGGGATTCGATGATGGAGGTGTACCAGTGACCAGAAGATGAGAAAAGAGAAGGCTTGTGGGATTTGGAGACGTGGATGATGAAGTTGTGAGGAGAATCCGATTCCGATGAAGACAAAATCAGAGGAAATGAACGAAGAAACAGAAACAAGAAAAAGATAGAAATGGAAGGAGAAGATGTCGCCATGGCTTTGTTCGATCTTCCTCAGAAATTGGAGTCTGGACAGAGAAGATAAGAGGATACTTCGCTAGTATTTCTCGGTTCCTTCCGGACAACTGCATTCCACGTCATCTATTCAGCTTTGGGTCTCTTCCCTTAAAACTGTCCTACAAGTCGCGCACGCGTTATGTACTATGGTGGGCCTATGTCCCATTGGTGAACGTCTTGTGATAAATGCTTAAGAACTTGAATTTTAAAATAAATATTTTAAGTTTAAAT